AGAGTGAATCAAATGAATGCATTATACTGTAGAACGTGTCAAGATGTGCAGCAATTTTTACTATTTAGGAGTCCAGAGAAATGGAGGATATGCGGAATTCAGTGGTCAGAAATGTGTAGTGAGACATTCAGCAAAGTTCACTATGATCGGGGGTCAGGAAGTTCTTTAACATCCCTGATTTGTTCCCAGTCTGATGTCCTGTGCGGTGTGCTGCTTCCCGTCTCTTTTCCACTCTTTTCAGACCACTTCTGTTATTACCTTGCAGTAGCTGAGATCTTCTGATTCACCTCGAATCTGGTGGATAAAGGATCTAGTGTGTGAAATGTCTTTGGCTAAAGGAAAATACAATATGGGAAAAATATCTGGAAAAGTTGTTTAGTGTAAATTACTGGAAGGCAGCCTTATTATTACAATTTGACTTAACCATGAATTTAACATCAAATAACATTTATATGGGGATATCAACGAGATGCACTATTAAAGAGAACAGGAATAGAATAGAATAGAAACTATTGCACTGAAAAAAATTGAAATCTAGATAAGTCATTTTTTCTCAACTCCAGTCTGGCGCACGGATGACGTCATACACACTCCGCTTTGTTTTTAAAAGATATAAATATAAAAAATATAACTGCGGTTGTCTGGGGGACAGTGATTGGCCAACATGTTATGAATGCTGGCGTACCATAAAGAATAAATTATGAACAGTTTAGTTTGTGCCTTCAACTCGTTGCCTAAAGGAAGACGTGTTCCCCTTTAAACTAAGCATGCTTGTAGCGACAGTGGAGAGGAAATAACAACATCAGGGTAATGTTGTTATTTAGATGCAGTTTTAGTTTAGGATATAAATTAAATATCACAACAGAACTGTTTAGATTGCAGCACCGCTTTTGGAAAATAAAAAAGTAAACTTGGATGAGTGTTTACTTTTTGAGTTGTCAGCAATTTTATGATTGGTTATACACTGCAAAAACGATCTAGAAATAAGTAAAACATTTCTTAAATTAAGCGTATTTACCCTTAATTTCAGTAGTTAAACAGGATGATCTGTCAATGAAATTTGTATTTTTACTCTTAAAATAAGATAATTAGATAATATGCACTTAAAATAAGACAATGCAAGTGTTTTTTCTTATTTTAAATGTGAATTGACTTGTTCCATTGGCAAAGTGTCTCACTTACCTCCTCAATTCAAGACAAAATGCACTTATTTGAAGAAAAAATGACTTATTAAGATTTACATTTTTTGCAGTGTATGTTTGATTTACAGAAGTAAAATATTTAAACTTAGCAAAGCAAAGCTACATTTTAACTTGTTTCTTAACTTTAAGCAAGTATTAATACTAACGCAAAGCAAGTAGCAGAAGGGATTTAGAAATTAAGCAATTTAAGAATCAGATCTGCTTTAAAGACTGTGACAACAAGGGCAATAAATAGGAACTAACTTGGCTTTTAGTTTTTTTCAATTGGTTTAATGTATCCATATTGGACAGTGGTGTCAAAAGTTCACACATTTGTTACTTCAGTAGAAGTATAGATACTGCAGTTTAAAAACACTCTGGTAAAAGTTGAAGTATCAACTTGACCTCTTTACTCAAGTAAAAGTGAAAAAGTATGTGCTCCAAAAACTACTTAAAGTATAAAAGTATAAAGTAACCTTTAAAAAAAAACCAGCCAGATGCCACTATATGAATTAAAAGCTAAATTTTTCGATTATTTTGAAAAATTCTTTGAGATAGGGCCAAGGATGAGGGAGGCCTTGTTGGTCTCCGTCTCCCGATACGCTCTCGCCTGTGTCCGACCTTTCAGACATTTCAACATCTTTTTCTGAATCCCACATTGTAGCATGGCATAGACAATTCACGTTAGCAGTTTGAAGAACACCTGCTTGCTTCTGATGATTTCCTTTAGCTAACCAATGAGTGTTTGCGTTATACGACTCATCCAATGACACTAGTTTTCACTAGATATGGATGGAGCCAATGATCTGCATTGGATGGAGCACATGACGGGAAATAAAGATTTAGAAACATTAAACCGAAGCCAAGAGTAACGAGCAACGTTTGTTTTAAAAATGTAAGGAATAGAAAGTAGAGATACTGGTGTGAAAATGTAATGAGTAGAAGTCAGAAGTAGGAAGAAAAATAAGTAATGGAGTAAAGTATAGATACCTAAAATGTGTACTTAAGTACAGTAAAGAAGTATTTGTACTTACTTACTGTTACTTGACACCTCTGATATTGGAGGGCATTGAAATATGTAACGTATGTTTAAGGCTTATACTTATCCGTTTTTTAAAACTCTGTGGATGATGAAAGAATTTGGTCTGTCAGTTTATTTATGAAGACAGACGGTAATTCTCTTGTTCACATTAGACCAGGTTAATTTGAAACATTTCCGTCTAATATGAGAGCAAAACTTATTAATAATTAATTTTTAAGAGTGCTGTATACCCAGATTTTTTGATGAAAGATTTGAATCATTATGATTCTTACAGATGTAAACAAAAATAATACAAAGAGTTTTATTTATTTAGCTGCATGGTTTTTAACTGCAAACCGACGGTCAAGAAAAGCTGTTATAAGATGAACCTATCTATGTTTTTTAGCAGAGTAAACAGAAATGGCTTATAATAATCTGTAATTTCAAGGTGAAACCTGGTTTTAATTTCCATTGAGGTTGATTAAGATCTATGTTCATTGATGTTTTTTTTAACATGATTTATTGTTGGATTTTAGAACCATTTAAAATCCCCAGCTTATGTAAAATGGCTAAAGGGGAACGAAAATATTAACTTATTTTTTCAGCTATAATTGGAATGAACCACCTCAACATGAGTCAGATTAACCAGACGGGCTTAAACTCAGTCTGTCTGAGATTACATGAATATAAACAGCTCCAGTAATCCAGGGGAATCACAGAGAAAGGAATCTGCTTTCTGCGGCTTTTTTCTCATGTATCACCCTCATTTCTTCCTCCATGCTTGCCTGATAACAGAAACAAGATGTTTTGCCCCTTAGTAAATAGATCAGCATGTTTGTTTACACCCATCTCCACAGTCCTGAAGAATGCCCATTTCACAACACCACAAATATGCCAGGAAGTTAAATGTACTCAGCTTGAAGGGAAACAGAGGAGGAGACAGCTTTATGAGCTGTTTTTGGACACAGACTCATTTTGGCCATGTGGTTTCTGTTACAAACTACACCTAATGAGTTAAATACTGGAATTTATTGGAGTGGGAAATAGATGGATGGTGACAAAACCTAAAATGAGGGCTGTGTTATCTTTGTTGCTGAAGAATGTTTTGCGTTTTTATTAGTTTAGTTCGAAAGAAAAATATCATCTTGAAAACTTTTTAGCTGTGAGGATACTGACTCACAAATAATAATAATAAAAAGAAGTTAAAAAACAATCTACTGGACTTTGTTTCAAAGTTTGAAGACGTTTCTCTTCCCATCCAGGAAGCTTTTTCAATCCAAAAGGTTTTATACAGTATCCCAACAAAGCCTTGTTTTTGTTTTGAAAACATGCAAATTGAAACGGACAAATGGGTCCACCCCTTTGGAATGGGGGTCGTTTAGCTTCTTTTGTTAGCCTGTAATGCCCCATACCTGTCTATGTCTCTGAAATGGGAGTCATTAGAGGGAATTGTTGGCCTGGTTGAATATGCCAGGTCTTCTGCTTCCCTGTGAAGGGGTGGTGTTGGCGATGATAGCGGGAAAGAATCAACTCAATTGCTGCGTTGTAGGTTGTTGAAAGCTGAAATCCGAGTTAGTTTTTCGGGGCGTGCAGGTGGCGTAGCGGTTAGCGTGCACTAGAGACTGACACGGGAGTGGATTTTCACTCCTGTCCCGTCCCACTCCCACAGAAAAAGATTGTGTCCCGTCCCGATCCCGGGACAGAGTAGAAATCTAAATCCTGTCTCGTCCCACTCCTGGTGAAATTACTCCCACTCCCATTCAGAATGACTCCCGCTCCTGCACCACTCCCATTCTTGTTGTTTTTGAGCGCGGGTGAAAAACTCAGAGCGGAAGCACTGTTGGTTTTTGGGTCGTGTAGTTTTATTGACTCTCATTATAGTGTAGGCTTCAAGGAAAAAAACTACAAAATGGCCGCGCCAGTACTGGATTTTTTTCTTTCTATTTTATTTTATTTTTTGGCATCAATCCTAGTTTCCTACTATTAGTGTTGCGCTGATGCCATTTTTTTGCCCCGATACCGATACCCGATACCTGGCCTTGCAGTATCGGCCGATACCGATACCATAATAATGTAAAATAATTGCCATCATGGCTTCATGTCAAGCTGCTGCCTACCTTTATGAAGCAGGAAAAAATCTAATACAAAATGAATCCAGTAGAACTTTTTATTGCCTACCAGGAGTGGGTGACAGTTGAATAAACGTATGGCTCTCAAAATGGTATCGCTGCCCTATTTGTTGGTACTCGCCGATACCGATACCACCATTTTAGGGCAGTATCGGGGCCCGGTCCGATACTGGTATCGGTATCGGTGCAACACTAGTTACTATCGGTTTGCTCCCGCTCCCATCTGCTCCTGTTAATGTTTAATCCTGTACCGTCCCAATCATGTGATCGTTACTAATACTGACTCCCATCCCACGGGAATCCCACGGAAATCCCGTGACCCGTGGGATTCCCGAAAAAATGACAGTCTCTAGCGTGCACAACCCTTGTATGAAGGCCTGGGTTCGAATCCGACCTGTGGTCCTTTGCTGCATGTTTCTCCCCCTCTCTTATACCCCCTTTCCTGTCAGCCTACATTTTGTTTTTTCTTTCTTAACATAGATGGCTTCCTTCACGCCCCTCTCAAACCAACTATATTCTTTGTCCAAAATGTGAACATTCTGGTCCTCTGATCCAACATATTGCACAAATAATGCTCGGCTTTAAATGTTTAGTCTGAGTCGTGTCCCGGTCGAACCGCCTGGCTTCACGCCGAATTAATCAGACTCTTGTGTTTATCTTTGTTCTTAGGTCCAGATGGATGTGATCTGCAGTGATCTGAGTCTTAGAAGTGCACCGGTCAACCTTCCTCAGGGAGTCCAGATGCTGGACCTTTCTCGGAACCAGGTTCAAAACCTTACGCTTGAAACATTAGCCTTTCACACCGGCTTCCATCAACTGAACCTCCATTCCAACAAGATCCACTTCATCCAGCCTGGACTCTTCAAAGACATGAAAGACCTCAGAGTCTTGGATCTGTCCAGGAATCACCTGAATGTTTTTGCACTCTCTAAAATAAACGTCGGACCTCTTTCATCCGTGGAGTCGTTGGACCTCTCAAGCAATGGGTTATACACGGGAATGTCCGACTATTTCCTGGCCGAATCTCCGTCTTTGGTCAACCTTTCCTTAAACAGCAACAGCATCACAAAAATAACACAGAACACCTTCAGCGGATCGTCAAAGTTAAGGAAAATTAGCCTCCACAATAACATCATCCTGGAAATAGAAGATGGAGCTTTTGAGTCTCTAGATCAGCTGACGGAGCTCGATTTGTCCAAGAATTCAATCAGCTGCATCACAGACTTTAATCTTTACAACTTGGCTGTTCTGAACCTCAGCAAGAACAGTTTGGAGTTTTTCCAAAGTGCCAAATCAGAGGATTTCTTCAGGCTTCACTCTCTGGATCTGAGCGAAAATAAAATGCTTTCCCTCCCCCTCCTTCCGGAGAATAACGTGCTGGAATTTCTGAACGTTTCTCGGAACCACATTCAGACACTCAACAGCACCGGGACTCTAATGTACGACACACATTTAAGATTAAATTCTTTAAAATACCTGGATATGAGTTACAACAAACTCAAAAGCTTACCAGAGACTTTGTTTACCAACATGACCTCCCTGGAGGTCCTCAATGTGAGTCACAACTGCATCAGCTCGTTTTCTGTTACGTCTGAAGATCTTCTGCACCGGGCGAAGATCATCAATCTAAGCCATAATTCCCTACAAAGTTTGACGTTTGGGGAAAACTCCCTCCGCTCCCTGAAAAAATTGCTCCTACAGGGAAACGACCTTACGGTCCTAGACCAGCAAGTTTTCCAAAGACTGCCGAGCATCAAGTACCTCCAGCTCCAGCAGAACAATCTCCAAATCTGTGAATCGGAACGAAACCAGCATGAATCAACGCTGATGGTCCGAAACGACCAGGATCCAACCGGCTGTGTGTCTTTCTCATCTATCCACGAACTACGCTTCCTGTATCTGTCTGAAAATAATCTGAGGACCCTCCCTGCAAAGGCGTTTGTAAACACCCCTCTGAAGTTACTAGACTTGTCCCTAAATCCAGGCCTAGAAATGCACAGGGACTCCATGTTTGGTTTGGAGCGTTCATTGGTCCACCTGCTCCTTAGAGAGAACAACATGTCGAGCCTAAACACAGACCTCACTTCCCTGCAGAGCCTCAAACACGTCGACCTGTCCACCAACCAGCTGAACACCCTACCGACCTGGAACAAGGAGTCCGCCATCGAGTCCCTGAACCTACGGAACAACAACCTGGTCAGCCTGGACCAATCCACCATCCGCGCCTTGGAGCGCTCCCTAAAGACCCTCTACATGGGCTCCAACCCGCTGAGCTGCTGCGACAACCTGGGCTTCCTCCACATGGTGCAGCACTCCACGGTCGTCGTTCCCGACATCGGGACTGTGACTTGCGTCCACGAAGGCTCTCCAGAGCCCGTGAATATCGAGAAGGTGACGCGGGAAATGTGTGACCTGCCAGACGCCCCAAACTACACAGCGGCTGTAGTAGTGACGTTGTTACTTGTGTTAATCCTGCTGGGGGTGCTGGTCAGATGTTTCCGATCACGGAGACGGAAGCGCAGCAGAGGCTTCCACGCATAGCAGGAACAATCAAATTCATACATGAGACCTTTAAAGGATTTTAATGTGAATGTTTAACTTGGTGCTTCTCAGAGACGCTAAAGACTATTTAAAGCTCTGAGTTTGGACCTCAACTACAAAGATCCAACAGCGATGGAGAAATCTAGCTGTTACACTGGAAAAAATTGTCATTTTTACTTAAAATAAGTGCCTTTGTATTTGGATTAAGGAGGTAAAACAGACATTTTGCCAATGGAACAAGACAATTTACATTGAAAATAAGAAAACACAATTGCATTGTCTTACTTCAAGTGCATATTATCTGATTATCTTATTTTAAGAGTAAAAATATTCATTTCATTGGCAAACTATCTTGTTTACCTACTCAAATTAAGGGTAAATACACTTAATTTAAGGAATTTTTACTTATTTTTAGATCGTTTTTCCAGTGTAGTTGCACATGTCCGTATAAAATCTCCTCCAGGATGTTGTGGTTGCAGAGAACAGCCCAGAAAATGAAAAGACCGACTAATGAGCGCCATGGTTCTTGTTTTCTCTTCAGAAACAAAGCTGGACTTTTTGTCAGATTTTTGCTTCAGTTTCATGCAGCACCTGAAAGCTTTGTTTAAGGAATTCCAGGTTTCAATCGCTCTACACTGCGAAAAAAAATCTAGAAATAAGGGAAAAAAAATCTTAAAGTGTATTTACCCTTAATTCGAGTAGGTAAATAAGAGGATCTGCCAATGGAATTAGTATTTTTACTCTTAAAATAAGATAATTAGATAATTTGCACTTGAAATAAGACAATAACATTGTTGTTTCTTACTTCAAAAGTAAATCGTCTGGTTCCATTGGCAAAGTGTCTCATTTACCTCCTAGATTCAAGAAAAAAATGCACTCATTTTAAGAATAAAATATAGAGATCTTTATTTTTTGCAGTGTATGTTCACTTCTTCAGGACTTTACAACAGAGACCAGAAGAATCTGACAGCAGCACCTGTGTTGAACTTTAAGGCCAGCCTTTGGATGTGTGTTCCCTAAATGAAGGAAAGTCTGATTCTGTTTTTAGTATTGTGTTTCATACCCGACGCCTATTTATTGAATGTAGAATAAAAATGAAGGATCAACACTAAAACACTTTGAGCTGACAGTAGCATCAGAAGACTGAATTACCGTTCTACTGTTACAACTCATATTTGTCAGATATTAGCTCCTTGGATTTTGGAAGTGAGTCGATACCAGTCTCTTATCTGTACTTGAATTTAACTGCAAAAGCTAAAACTCAGATTAGGATTAACCTGTAGGCTCCAAATGCTAATCCTTTATACGAGAGGTAACCAATTAAAAATCAGCGGGGTCCGAATAAAAGAAAAAACAGTAAGGGCTTTAAACAGAATTTAACACTGCAATAAAATGCAGGTGTTTATGCCTCCGTGTTATACATTGAATTTTTAAATAAAAATAGAGAACAAAAATCTTTCAGTTTGGCATAAAGACAATTTTTTTTTCCTGTCTTAATGTTGGCAGTGAGCTTTAGGCTGCCCTGCAAGGCTTTAAACCTGGGTTTAACCAGAGACTAAGCCATTCTCAAGCACATATCAAGGAGCTCATTTTGAGCCTGGATCCAGATTTATTGCTGATTCTGTTCATGGTGGAGAATCCTGCTTCACAGCAGCAGGTTGAGCCAAACATCCTCTAAATGTGCAGGGTCATCTTTGAGCACGCCATTTCACTTTTCTTTCACCAGTTCACCACAGTTCTTCCAGCGGTCCACACTTTCTCTGCTCTCTTTTTCTCATGGTCTTCTCCTTCTTTCCCATCGCCCGGCTAATTTGGATCACGTGTAGCCTGGCGAAGGGCTCTCCGGAGGGCTTTACCGTATTAACAGGAGAAGCAGCACAAGCGACATTTAGACACTGTAGTCGGACAACATGTGGTAATTTATAAATGTTTTTTAAATCAGGTTGGGTCCGGATTAGTCAGCAGGTGGGTCCGGATCTGGACCCTGGTCCGCTAATCCGTGAACTCTGCTTTAAACCAAAGATAGTTTGCTCTTTCTGTTTATGTTTGTTTCAGTATGTGAAAGTTATACACGCTTTTTTTTCATTATTTCAAATTAAAATCTGTTTCACATCAGTAAATGGCCATAACAGCAATATTGATATAGACCTAAATCTTAAAATTGGTGCCACCCTGAAATTTATATTTCTTAAGTAACACTTTCCTGATCTTCTACAGTTACACTGGAAAAAGTCATTTTTTATTAAATTAGTGAATTTGTTCTTGACTTGAGAAGGTAAAATAGACATTTTTCCAATGGAACAAGACAATTTACATTTAAATTCAGAAAACACAACTGCATTGTTTTATTTCAAGTGCATATTATCTAATTATCTTATTGTAAGAGCAAAAATACTCATTAAATTGGCTAATAATCTCATTTACCTGCTCAAATTAAGGGTAAATACACTTAATTTAAGAAATATTTACTTATATGTAGATCGTTTTTCCAGTGTAGCAGCCGTTCAAAATGGCCCTTCCCAGTATAAAGCCAGCCGAATGGTAGAAAAATCCCCTCAAACTTCCAGACGCTGACCACCTTCTGGCCGTGCATATTTTTTCACTTCACCCTTTTCACTGAATTACAATCTGACCAGGAGAAGTTGCTTCTCTTTTGATCTTAATGTCCACAAATCATGACAGAATAATTTAGATGGTTAAAAGGAATTGTAGGGGACCAGCCAGGGACCAAACAAGGGCCCATCAAGGAAATTGGGGAAATTTTGAATGGCTTCTACCGTAGGTTTAAGTTTTTTTTTGTCAATTCCCACATTCTGTTTCTGATCTGATGTTTGTCTTTTCTTTCCTTTGGCTTCTAAACTTGACAGTTTTAGTGTTAAATATCTGATAATAAATACAATTACACGTAGACAAGCCACTTAAACAGTAATATCTACATGTATTATGTATTTTAAGTTTTTGTTTTTTAGATATTTTACTTTATTTCAAGTTGTTTCCCTACAAATTCATTCTCAAGATTTAGATATATGTTTAAAAGGCCCCTTTTGGGGGAAAACGGTCTATATGTTGATCCTGTTCCTTCTTTAAATATAAAAATGCAAATAATTGACTGGTATCAGAGCTTTTTTATCTTCTGTGCTTCAGCAGTGGATAAAAAAACAACATTAAGGGTTGATCTAAGAGCTAAAACCAACTGTAGGAGTTTAATCCTGAGACCGATTTCTCCAATGAAGAATGATCTGCTTCTTAAGCTAAAAATGAAGAAAACGACACTTCTAAGCAAAACGAAAACCTCTATTTATAAAGGGTTACATAAAGGTGTTTATTAAGATTACATTATCAGTGTAGATTGCACTTTAAACATGTTTTTTTTCCTGTTTTGTAACTTTTAACACTAAGAAAAAGGTTTATATTTCATGTAAATGTAATTTATTTTGTTACCTGTTAAGATTTCCCACATTAGATTGTCTATATGATACTAGACTCTTGGTGCTTTCCATGTTTTTTAGACATGAATATGTATGAGAACATTGTTTGTTTCCTAACCTCCAGCAATGTGATATTAAATAAACCAGTAAACATTTACTTGGACCAGTTGTTTGTTAGTTTATTGCCCAAATCAGGGGTGTTCAACATGTTTGCAAGGGGCTATGGGACTTTTTATTGCATGTAAAGGCATGCCTGCTGACAGTGGGGGCAAACGGGTCAACTGTCCCAGGCCCAGGACAGACGGGGGCCCAAAATTGACACTCTGACCATTAAAAATACAGGCAGAAGTAATTTTTCAGAAAATATTTGCATGAAAAATATTTAATATTAGAGTAAGTAAATGTATAAATTTATCTGCATTAGGTATATGTAATATGTTTTCTTTAAATAAGGGGCCATTAGTAGAATTCCCCCCACCGCAACATAAAATGGTTTGACCTGGACAGCAGGCTGCAACTTTTAAAGTTTGTTTCGCTGCAAACTAAGAATGTCCGATTTTCAGGGGGAAAAAAGGGAAGATGACACCAAAAGGCTTGAGGGATTTTAGGAGTAAATATTAAGAATAAACTAAGGATGAGTCAGGAACAGCACTGCAAAAATTTGAATCTCAATAAGTCATTTTTTTCTTAAAATAAGTGTATATTTTCTTGACATAAGGAGATAAATGAGACACTTTGCCAATAGAACAAGACAATTAACACTTAAAATAGGAAAAAAGCAATTATGTTGTCTTATTTCAAGTGGATATATATAATTATCTTATTTTAAGGGTAAAAATACTCATTCCATTGGCAAACTATCTTATTTACCGGTTCAAATTAAGGGTTAAATTGACTTAATTTAAGACATTTTTACTCATTTTTAGATTGTTTTTGCAGTGAGGAAGAGAATTGCAGAATGATGCCCATCAGAGCCAGGGAAGAAGCAATGCGTTTAAAAATGTGATGTTGAAGTATAGCATCCACTAGCTAGTATAAGGGGTAAAAACACCATTTTCTTTTACAGAAATGCTTGAGCTTAGCACCAAAAGAGCAGAACGATGGCAGACGTGTAGGTGCAGGGTGAAAGATAGAGCAGGAGAGCCAGCAGAGGCGTCGCAGCTTCGAGGGGAGCCAGATGGGAGGGGCTTACTGCCTGATCGGAGAGTCTGAGCATAGTGGTTCAGAGACGGACCATGCCGTTAATTTCAATGATCCTGTGCTAGTGTGTGTTGGTGTAGAGGGGGGGGCCCAAAAAGACTATGTTGTCCCAGACCCTAGAAAAAGCTGTCAGCAGGCCTGTGTATGGGTCTCATTCATGGTTTAATTGGAACTCTAGCAAATGAAGCTGATGCACATCGACATGCTTTATAATGTATCAGAGCAACACAAGAAACCAACGCGAACCAATTCATCTTCCTTATTTAATAAAAAAAATATACAACACGGAGTATTTTTATATTAGTAGTGGTGTATAAAAGCTGTTCATTAAACAAACTATGAGTCGGGAGGGAAGTTCAACAACTAAAAACTAGAAAAACTTTCTTGACTAATAAAACTGAAATCTTTGGATCCTTAAATCTGAGAAGCTAACTTTTTATTTTTATTTTATTAAGGGGAACTTCTACAGTAGTTTGTTCTTCTCTACTTTGTTTTGTTAGAATATTGCATGTTTAACTTGTGACAGAACAAAAAAACTATTTGCATTTTAATTTGAGGGGAATAACCAAAACATTAGACTCTAAAGTGCTTTTAACTTGATGATTATAGCACACAGTGCAAAAAGTTTACTGACACCACTGCC